GATCCAGGTGATTGATATATGCATTTTTTTTTATTTTTTTTTCTGCCCGTTCTGTTGGTTTTTGTATTTTGCCCTTCTCCCCCGTCCCTCTTCTCAGCTGTTTCTCTTTCCCTCTTTCTTTCTCCCCTTCTTTCCCCCAGTCAAGTCTGTCCCGTATTCAGTAAGTGAAAATAAAATAAACAATAAAAGGTGAATCAAATGGACCATTACGGCAAGGCTGGGATGGTCAATTTGGTAAAGTAAATCCGTTGGGCATCTTTCTTTGCCTTTAGGCAACAATTCTGATGGCAAAAGAGCCAAACGGGACAGGCAAAAAGAAAAAAGAAAATAAAAGAAAAAAAATAAAGTTTGCAGATGACACCACGGTGATTGGCCTCATCAGTGACAATGATGAGGCCGCCTACAGGGAGGAGGTGGATCATCTGGCTGAGTGGTGCGACACAAACAACCTGCTGCTTAACACCGAGAAGACCAAGGAGCTCATCGTGGACTACAGGAGGAATGCTGACCCACATCCACCCATCCACATTAAGGGGACGGCTGTGGAGCGTGTGAGCAGCTTCAAGTTCCTGGGAGTCCACATCTCCGAGGATCTCACCTGGACGACCAACTGCTCCAAGCTGGTCAAGAAGGCTCACCAGCGCCTCTTCTTCTTGAGGACTCTGAGGAAAAACCACCTGTCCTCAGACATCCTGGTGAACTTCTATCGTTGCACCATCGAGAGCATCCTGACCAACTGTATAACAGTCTGGTACGGGAACTGCTCTGCCTCGGACCGGAAGGCGTTGCAGAGGGTCGTGAAAACTGCCCAGCGCATCGCCGGAGCACCACTCCCTGCCATAAAAGACATCTACAGGAAGCGGTGTCTGAAAAGGGCTGGGAAAATCATCAGAGACCCCAGTCACCCATCACATGGACTCTTCACCCTCCTGCCCTCTGGGAGGCGCTACAGGAGCCTCCGGACTAAGACCACCAGGTACCGGAACAGCTTCTTCCCCACAGCTGTCAGACTCCTGAACTCTGCCTCCTGACATCTGACCCACGTTAACACATGGACTGAACATACACACACCCACAATGGACAACTGTACCCTCAAACACACAATAATAACACGGACTGAACCACCACTCACAACCACTAGCACTTTATATAGCCTCTGTAGAAATTATCCACATATCTCACTTATCTTAACTGCACTACTGTATAGCTCTGTAAATAATCATTCTGTACATACGATAATTTTTAACCCTACAACTGTTTACAACTTGTATAGTTCCCATTTCTGTATAGCTGTATATCTCAGATTCTGTAAAGTTATTTATTTCATATTTATATCCTGTTCATAGCTTGTACTCACTACAGCCTGTACATACTTATAGTTATAGAATATTCACAACATACTTCATACCGTGTACATTATAACATACCATAATAGACCCATTTCTGTAATATACTCACATATCTATATTATTGCTAATATATATTGTAATATATCTATATCACTAAAGCACTTCTGGATGGATGCAAACTGCATTTCGTTGCCCTGTACCTGTGCATGTGCAATGACAATAAAGTTGAATTCTATTCTAATTCTATTCTATTCTATATTAATTAGATCAGTGCCTTTTTAATCATTAATTTGATTATTTAATATTAACTGTTTAATTTAATCATTTCTCTACTGGTTTTTCATTAATGTTTCTAGCAAATTATAACAAAAAGTCATAATGTAAGTTTTATGCCAATTAGCCCTATTATGTTTATTACCTCATTTGTTGGAGCTTATTTTTTTAGACGACATTCTGGCTGCAACAGCTGCCAATAATTTACTGTAAATATGAACTTTTGAATAAAAAGACATGTTTTGTATTATACAGCTCTTCTGTGCTTTGTCAATAGGAGACGGTAATCAAGCTTATTAAAATGTATTTTAACAGGTTTACATTATATTAGTTTTTTTTTATTTCAATGTAATTATTGTGCAAAAACCAAAGTTCACTGTGAATTTTACATTTCTCAACAAAGTATACCGTTATGTATTCTGCATTCTCACTATATTTTCCACTGTGAAATTCTGGCAACCACAGCCGCCAGTAATTTACCGTAATATTCAACTTTTTAGTATGATACCGTATTATTTTATATAGTTTCACTTACGTTCTTATATATTTAACGAAGTAAGACGGTAATCCGGTTAATCTAATGTCTGTGGTTTTCACATGAATTACCCATTAACAATTTTACAATTTAGGTTCAAATTCATAGTCATTTACTGTAAAAATAATTATTATTTACTGTGAAATTTATGGTTACCAAAATAGGATACCATTTTGTGTTCTACATTTACAATTTATTTTTCACGGTGAAATTCTGGCAACCACAGCTGCCAGTAATTCACCGTAAATTCTACAATTTTTTAAACAGCTGGATAGTCCAGCCCCTATCCAGCAGAGCCCAAGCCGTGAGATGAGGTGAGTCCAACTATATCTAGTCTCTCTCAACCTCACGCGCTAACTCAGGCTCCTTCCCTACCAGGAAGGTGACGTTCCATGTCCAAATCACTAGGTTTGGTAGTCGGGATCGGTCGACCAGGGCCTCCCCTCCTGTCCGCCGCCTGACAACATTGCACCCAACCCCTACGGCCACCTCCAGCAGGCGGTGGACCTTCAGGAGGTTGGGTCCATGTCACTTTTTCGAGCTGTGCCTGGCTGGGCCCCATGGACTAAGGCCCGCTAAATTTTGAATCACTCTTTGTCTGGTCTCTCACCCAGGACCAGTTTGCCATGGCTGACCCTACCAGGGAGTAGGGTTTTAATGCTAAACACACCATGACATGTAAAACCAGCATAGTTCTTCACAGAGAACTATGCTGGGGAACTATCTTTACTTACTGTATGTTTGACTGGATCACGCCCTGCAAAAAACTGAAGGCCAAAGTTAGGCTTCCATTGAAACCACAGTAATCAAATACAATACACAGATGTAAGTACATCTGAGCAAAGCCATACTGTGTTGAAAAGAGCTTTATTTATTAGGTAACTTAAAATCTATTTAAGTCCTGGAAGGATTTAGCAAAACACTATCACCCAATATGTAGCATGTATAATATTGAGCACACTATAATACTGTAAGAAAAGTTCATTACCATAACATTTGTTCTCATGAGCGTAAAATCATATTTTCCTTTTTTGTGTCTCTGTATAACAGCAGCACGTGGTGGTGCAGAGGTAACCCTCTCTCATAATATGTCACAGGTATTATGAGACTGGGTTACTTTCATGGTGTTCATTACATCTGAATCTTAAACCCATTTAATTGTTAAACTAACACTCCAGCTGGAGCACAGGTAGCTCCTGGAGCATTAGTATTTCTGTAATTGTCCAAATGCCTGCACTGTATCCAAATCTAGCTGCTCCTAGCCAACACAAAGGCTGGTGTTAGCTTAGTTTAAGCCAGATTTTTTTAATGTTTCACAGCTAAAGTGAAAGCTCCCGGGCATTTTGTCTCTATGCTGCCCTCCTCTCATCAGTAGTAAAAGCCCTCCATTTACAGGACACAGAGCTTAAAGGGGATGCAGGGTGCCACAGGGTAGCAGTTACACAGACAGATTACCTGCAAATCCCACCCAGGGGACTCAGAGCAGCCACATCTGCAGTCTACACACACGCACACACACACACACGCACGCACGCACACACACAGACATGCACACACACAGTCACCTCTTGAAATAAGATTATAACACCAGGTCACACAGAGCCAAGCCCCTTCATTCCTGATGCAGGCAGAGGGAAGTGCTGATGCAGTCTGAATGGGAAATGTGAATGGAGTGCCGGGGGAGCAGAGATATACATAAAGTCAGAGAAGTAATGAAATGATGGAGTCAAATGGCAAAGGTCCAGATGTTAAGGCTGAACCCAATCAGCTACAACGTTAAAACCCACCTAATATTGAATATGCCCAGAACTTTATTTTGTCACTGGACATCCACGATCCTCTAGTTGTGTTTGTTATGGATGGATCAAATGGTCAATCCATACTTCCACGAATGGCCTGCAAGGTTCCCAATAACATTTTGGTTTGGTGGTTTGTGTCAAAAACAGCCAATAAATGCAGACCCCAGGTTTCCTACAAAGCCCTGCACTGTAGGGAGAAAATCAATTTTATCCTCCCCATTAGTCCGTGGTTTGAATTTGTAGCTGAATGATTTAAATTCAGCTGTAATAAGTTCATTTCTGAGCTTCAGCTGGAGTTGAGAGTCTGCCATTGGTGTAACAAGCTGAGGGGTCCATGTCAGGTGGTGAGAAGAATGAGAACTGTGCATTCATTTTATTATGGTGCAACAGGGTCAGAGTTATTAGCAGTGGACATGCTGTCAGTATCCACAGCAAAAAGTTGGGGGAATGATTTTTCTGCTTCATAAGCTGAAAGCATATATTAAAAAAAAATCATTCAGTCTGCTGTGTTACATTAATATTTTTCTAAGAGGTAACAATACTGATGACCAAACAACTGCGTTATATGTAAAAGGTCAAACAATGAAAAAAAACCTACTGATCAAAAACTCTTATCTTAAATAACTATAACACATCGATAATAAAATCACTCATTACAGACTATTGTCCCATGGTACCTAAATAAGCTTAGAGAGCAAGAAATAAGCATAATACTGTAAATCGCCTTTAAACTCTAAGCAGTCACAGAAGAAAATATGTTACTCTAAAGTAGCTATGCATGATTCCCAGTTTAAAACAATTCTTATTTATTATAAATTGGGCCACAATGCATTATTCTTTGCTGAAAAAAACTCTTTTTCTTCACCTTCTGATTGGCTGTCCTTGTAAACAACACGTCTGGTTGGGCAGGTGGGTGGGCCTTACATGTTCAATGTGTTCTATGTTTGCAAATGTTCCTATTTACTGAAATGTTGATAATATGAGCATTCAAGGCAAATCGTTAAATGCTTTGAAACATATTAAACACACAATAGTATCATTTATGTATAATGTATAGGTTGTACAAAGCAAAAGGCAACATTTCTTCTCCTTTTACATAAATAATCACAATGTTCCCAAAGATCAGTGACAAATAAGTAAAAATAAAATAACTTTGAATTTCAGTTTAAAAACATCTGCATTTATCCGATTGTGCTGGTGCTGTAATGCTTGTGTGCTGTCATTGGTCAGCTGGGACAACCTCCAGGATGATCTGCAAGGTTCGGTTGAAGGAATCTGATGACACAAACAAAATCGTGTAAAGCTCCATCAAGATAACAGCCTAACAAGATTGCAGTTAAAACACAAATGAAAGGTGATTGTTTCATAAAAATCATTGATAACAGTGCAACAATTGGAAATCAGCACATTATACAAAGCAGATACAATTAGCTCTCTAAAGCAATGAAGATGTGTTCTCTGGAGTGATAAATTACAGTTCTCCATCTGGCAACTGGATGGAGAGCTGTTTGGGGGGGGGGGGGGGTGAGCTGAAGTTGAGTTGTTTGTCAGGAGTTGGGTTCAGCCCCTTGAAATACCTTTTAACTCCCAGGGGCTTCTGTAAACCACCACCACCCAAGATAAAGCTAACACTTGTGAGACTTGTGAGGTGTAAGTATCACAGCAGATACCACTATGTCAAAAAACTGAGGACGGAACACAGAAAAATATGAAAGAATTTTTTCGTAGTCTATTTTTTTATGTCTAGTATATAACCCATTTGAAAATATGCTGCAGTAGGCCAAAACTTGATTAATGATGTTAAATATGATTTGCAACATAAGAAAAAAGACAGAAAAATGTCAAAAAGTCCTCCTATTACAGATTTTAGATGTTTAGCTTCATCCATTGACAGATCTCTCCTGAAATGTTCAGTTCAGGTCTGGCCGGGCCACTCAAAGACACTCACAGGGTGGTCCCAAAGCCACTGCTTTGTTTTCTTAGGCGTGTTCTTAGGGTCATTGTCCTGTTGGAAGGTGAATTTTTGTACTCAAAAGAGTCCTGAAGAGCAGAGAGCACTCCTGTCTCTGAACCGCTTTGCAGCATCTGACGAGCGGTCTGTCTGACGGAATTAGCTTAACAGACGCGTCGGGGTTTCCAAATTCGTAGGCTGCATACTCCTGAGGACCCGGCCTTTGCGGTCTACGTGGGCCGAGTCCTCCGAAGGCCGGGTAGGCCGGAATTGCGAGGCTGTGAAATTAGACGATCTAGCCTTCAGTTTTGCGTCACCAGCTGTCTCGGTGGAGTTTAATAAACTCGGCCGTCTGCTCCTTTCTATCTAAAATATAACAGGACACTGGAGTACATTCTCGATCATCTCACACTTCTATTTAATCAGTTTTCTGTTTGACGTTTCTTCAGCTGTGTGAAAACGAAATCTTTAATCTCAGCCAAACCAATTTTCTCACGAAAAATTAAAACACTGAAAAAAGCCAAATAATAACATTTTTAAGTTATCTAAGTGACTTATATATAATGTTTAACCTGAGTTGTGAAAGACCGCGGGTGGTTTGAAAACGGTGTGCAGGGACTACGCTGTTATCGCCCCGGCTAGCTATCAAGCTGGTGGGTAACAGACGTCTCCGAAAACATCGGAGCACTTTTGCAAATATGCGATATCTTGATAGACCGAGCAGATATTTGAAGTTTACACACCCACACTCTTGCCTAAAAATATGTTAAAACTTTATTTTGTGACCCAGAAAGAGTAATAAGAGTAATACTAACACTAAATAGCTGCCGCCATTGTTGGAAACTGGAATTGGCTGGGCTGCCAGTTCATTGGCAAGAGCTTTCTTTAGCAGGTTATCATCAAGGATGTGTTTGCACATTGTATTAATCTTTCCCTCAACCCTTACAAGTCTCCCAGTTCCTGTTGCTGAAAAACTTTCCCACAACATGATGCTGCCACCACCATGTTTAACTTCAGGGATAGTACTGCCCAGGTCATGAACAGTTCCCGGTTTCCTTCAGACATGATGCTTGGCATTCAGGCCAAGTATTCCAACTTTCTTCTAGAGAACTTTGCTTCTCATGGTATGAGAGTCCAGATAAATGATGGAGGGTTCACCCTCCCCACCGCTCCCCACCTGGGACAGCTACCCCCCTACTGTGATGTAGTACTTGTTGGTTCTCGTGTGGTTGTTGACCCACTCCCTTGGTGGTCTTAGATCCAGTCAGTTCTTGGGCACCTGGAGCCGTAGAACCCTGATCTTGGCTTGCACCGGGGTAGCCTGTCTCTAGAGGGGTCAGCTACCTGTCTCCTCTGTTTCTCTCCTCGACTCTCACCCCTTGGCCATGGGCCTTCCTGCTCCTGCTGGGATGGGTGCACAGGCATAGTCTTGGGTCTTTAATAATCCTGGGGGGTGTGGATGGGAAGGTTCTCCCAGATCCATCTCGCCTCTGGTTCCTGGGGGGTGTTATTGTGGCTTCCCCCCCCCCCCCCCCCTCATTTTTAACTACATTTCATGACAAAGACACACACGTACATACTCACACTTGACACTCTTTCTCTTTTTCTGTCTCACACTCACCCACACACCACAAGAAGCTTGTTGATTAATGTACCTGTGCACTTTCCAATTATAGTGCTCCAGGTTTTATATGTTTTGTATGGTCATGAAGACCCTGGAATGACACATCCTGGACTAGCTTCAACCCATAGTCAGACCACATCTGGATCCCCTTCAGTTTGCTTACCAGCCCCGCCTCGGAACTGAGGATGCCATCATCTGCCTGCTCGATCGTGTCTACACCCATCTGGACCAGCGAGCACTGTGAGGGTCTTGTTTGTTGACTTTTCCAGTGCTTTCAACACCATCAGACTGAGCCTCCTGGGTGATGAGCAAACAGTGATGCAGGTGCTTCTCTGTTGTCCTGGATTGTTTATTATCAAACAATAAGACCACAATATGTGCATCTTCCACATTGTGTGTCTGACAAGGTAATCAGCAACACAGGGGCACCACAAGGGACTGTCCTCTCCCCCTTCCTCTTCACCCTCTACACCACAGACTTCAGCCACTGCACAGAGACCTCCATCTTCAGAAGTTTTCTGATGACTTTGCAGCAGGGGTGATGTGGGCGACTCCTTTGTCACGTGGTGCAAGCAGAATCATCTGCAGCTCAACATGGCAAAGACCAAGGAATTAATTGTGGATTTTATGAGGCCCAGGAAAACCGTGACCCCTGTTTTAACAAGGGGGTCAACATGGACATTGTGGAGGACTATAAATACCTTGGAGTAGGCAAAGACAATAAACTGGACTGGATTAAAAACAACACTGCACTCTACAGGAAAGGCCAGAGTCATCTCTATTTTCTGAGGCGGATGAGGTCCTTCAACATCTGTCAATGATCATGATTTTTTATGAGTCTGCTGTTACCAGTGCTGTCCTCTATGCTGTTGCATGCTGGGGCAGCAGGTTGAGGGTCACAGATGCCAACAGTCTCAATAAACTGACCTGCAAGGCCAGTAATTTTGTGGGGATGGAGCTGGACTTCCTTAAGGTGGTGTCTGAGAGGCAGATGTTGTCCAAGTTAAAGACAATGTTGGACAATACCTCCCACCCACTCCATGACGTGCTGGCTAGCCACAGGAGCACACTCAGTGAGAGACTGAGATTACCAAAAAGCACCACTGAACGACACAGGAAATCATTCCTGCCTGTAGCCATCCCCCTGTACAACTCCTCCATCTAACACACTTGTAAACACTGCAATAGTAACATCCTTTTTCACATGCTCTTTTCAACTCAGTAATGTTGCTGTCAATATTATTGATATTTATTTATAATCGCCTCTGTCAATCCTTGATATTTATTATTATATAATTATTGAGTGATTTGTATATATTGTGCTTTTTCTTAAATCTGTAACATATTGTATTGTTAAATAGTCTAGTCTCTTTCTGTTACTGTACTGGAGACACTGTAACCCACATCATTTCCTTAGGGATTAATAAAGTATTCTGATTCTGATATGTATGTTTGTTTTTCTTACAGATACGGAAACACACATTGTGCATATTTATTTGTACTCTATCCTTTACTGTGTCTTTCTTGACCTTGAGTTTTGCGCTTCCTTACAGTTTTTATTTCCTGAGTCTGTAGTGCTGGAGGTCTCTTCAAGTTGAAGAAAAAGTTTCAGCTCAAGACAGAAGCATCACACCAGGAGAGTAACACTGGATCCAGTTCAATAACACTTCTTGTAAATAACCGGTCGTCCTTTTCAATAACCAACTTTTTCAGTAGATCAATGGACTTGATAAAACTCAACCAACCAACAAAGACCAACCCCAGCAGAGGACATTAGTGATATGTCGGTCGCGAACGAAATGGCTCTTATAGCCGGATCTTTGACGTGAACGACGCGAGCCGGCTCCTTATCGCGAGCAGTGGTTTTTTTCTTTTTCTTTCTCTCACCCTCTCTCTCGCACTTTTTTCGCTTCACTCCGCACGCGAGCCTTGTGCTTTACGCTGGGCAGAGGGGGAGGGGCGGTAGTTAGTCAGTAGCACAGGAACAGAGCGGGAGGGAGAGAGAGAGAAAGAGAGCCAGGGACAACAACGTCACATTAGAAAGGTATAGCAATCATCCACAACTATTTTCAGTTGCAGATGATAAAGGATTCAGAAAGTTTATTCATGCAGGTCCATATGACAGAGAATATGCATCTTCTTTTTGTTTTCATATTTTAATTTATATTTAATTGTGTTGTGGTTTGTAGTGTTTTGTGTTGTTTCACTTTAAATTTGTAAAAGGAAAAAGCTGAAAATTTAAACAGTTAAAAGTTGAAATGTGAATAGTTGGTTTTTGTATTATATGATTTATTTATTACATTTTATGTGGAGTGAATAAATAAAAGTATATTTACGGTGGCCCCTACAGACAAAGCACGTACAAACTTCAAAACACGTAAAAACTCCAAAACACGTGAAAACTCCAAAACACGTGAAAACTCCAAAACACGTAAAAACTCCGAAGCACGCACAAAACAACAACAGAAGTGCTCCAGGATGCTAGGGCGCAGTGTTGAGCTTTTGTTACCTCGTGGCTACACAAGCCAGGAAGTACAAACGACCGGATTTGGTGTGTGGTAGTAGCAGGTAAGTGAACATTTTTTTAAATTATTTGAATATATGTGAGTGCTTGTGTATAAATACACAAACAATACACACATGCTTTCAATTGTGTAATTTAAGTGATCTTGGTAATTCTGTTTTGAAGTTCAGTTAACGCTAGAAATGTGTTTTGGAGTTTGTACGTGTTTTGTCTCTAGGGGCCACCATATATATTTATATATAAACATATGTAAATGAATCCACTTTTTTTTTTTACATTAGTATTTCCTTTTGTGCATAATTTTGTATTGTTGTTAATAATAAATTAATTAAAGCACAAAACAACCTGAAGAGCCGGTTCGGAGCCGAAAGAGCCGGCTCTTTTTAGTGAGCCGAGCCGAAAGGGCCGGTTCTCTAAAAGGAGCTGGAAATCCCATCACTAGATGACACGGCACCCCAAAAAGTAATGAAAGACTGTCCAAACTTTCACACTCGAGTTTGATTTTGTGCCTCTCCAGTATCTCGCCAGACTCAAGAACCTTGATTTTAAAAATGAAATGCAAAAATTACATTCACTTCAATCTGAACCATGAAATATGTATTTGAGACCTTGATGAATTACTTCAGAATTAAATGAGGAAAAAGAAAAACTTCTTTTGGGTGGTCGATATTTTTCACAGCGGGGTGGCACTGTGGATTAATGCACATGTTTTATCTGACAGATTCTTACAGTGGATGATAACACTCCTAGGAATTTGTGCTTCCTCCCCACCAAACTGGGGATCTTTTCCATCTCAGGTGAATTTACTACTACACTACAGATCACTTCCATTATTAAATAAATAATTGACAAATAGTGCTTTATTAATTTCATGTTTGCAGCTTAATCAAGTGACCCATCAGTAACTTAATGATGTGTTACCTAAAGTCCTCTGAAGCCACTTTGGTCTGTGGTTGAAGTAAATAAAGATGTAGTATGCAGGGATGCCAGTGAGGGAAATGGCAAATCCAATTCCTGTGTTAACAGGGTCCGAGTACAGAGACAGGAAGACCATGAAGAAACATGTGATGCAAAACACCACCGGAAAAAACAGTGGAACCTGCGGACAAATCAACAGTGAAATTATATACTGTACACACAAAGATGGTGAAAAGTCAGGATTTTGCAGAACTGATTGAATGTTTTGTGTTTAAAATTTCAGAGGAAAATGTAAGAGCTACAGTGCTGTGAAAAAAGTATTTGTCCCCTTCACAGTTCCTTAGTATTTATGTCACAATTTCATGTTTTAAATCATGACACAAACTTCGTTATTAAAATAAGATATTCTGAGTAAATACAAAATGCAGCTCTTAAACAATGATTTTATTTATTCAGGGCAAAACCTATTTGACCCTTTGTGAAAAAGTCATTGCACTCTTTGGTAAATCATAAATTAACTGTAATTATTAACCACAATTAAATTTGAGTGAATTTTCATTACTAGACCCAGTCCTGATTATTGTCACACCTGCTGAATCAAGAAATCACGTAATTAGAACCTGTCTGACAAAGTAAAGTAGGCTAATAGATTAGATTAGATGAAACTTTATTAATCCTTTGGGTGGGTTCCTCTGGGAAATTCAGTACTAGATGTGAAGGCCAACACATCAGAGCTAAGGAACAAACTCAGTGACACTTATCAGTCTGGGAAATGGTTTTCCACTAGTACCAACTCAGCCCCAAGATTTTGGGGAAAAGATTCTGTTGTCTGACAAGACGAAAGCTGAACCTTTTTGGAAGGTTTGAGTCCTGGTTACATCTGGTGTAACACCATTGCATACAAAGAGCATCATACTAGGGGTGGGTTTTTATAATCAATTTATCGATTAAAATCGATTCTGGCTTGGATAACGTAAAATCGATTCATTAAAATCCTGAATCGATTTTTTAATATAAATTTATTTTGCCCGAAATGCCAGAATCTCTGGTGAAATCTCACAAACTTTCAACAACCACCAAACAGTTAAGACAGTAAATGAGAGCAGGAACACGGATTCTGCACAAAGACTTAAACACACAGCGCAACCGGCGGATCAGAATCAGTTAGATGTCGCCTTTCTCACAGTCGGGGCTGAAAGCCGACAGCTGGCTGATTGTGATCTGTCGGTGGGTCCGCGCTTTGTGTTCATGCCCTTTATGCGCTGATTCTAAAGCTGTTAGTTTTATCTCTCTCCGAACAATATTGACCGAACCAGGAGCAAAAGAAGATCCAAACGCTTCACATAAACATCGTCATGAATTCACTCTGACTTTCGCTGTTTTGCTTCCATCGCGATGCGCAGCTCTCTCTCCCTCTCTCCCTCTCTCTCTCCCTCTCTCGCTCTCTCCCTCTCTCTCTCTCTCTCTCCCTCTCTCTCTCTCTCTGTACTTCAAGAACAGTTTCCCTTTCTTCATTATTCGCTTGCTTGTTACGCACAAGTCTACTGTTGCTTACAGCGCTGTCAGCTGCTGTTTTTTTCCCTTTTACATTCTTCCGAAAAGAAAACCTCATTTCTGCTGTTCAACACTGAACAAATGTAAACTTTTTAAAATTATGCAAAATGCAAAACACCGTGTCTCTAATAAAACCGCTGTAACTTCAGAGGTAATGTTCATGTGCTGATTAATGGTTTTCTTTCGTTTTTGATGTACTGCAGAATATTTTTATAAAATCTAGGCCAGGAAAATCGCCTTCATGTTTTTCTGTGTTTTATCCTCAGCTACTTTGACACAAAGGCATCAGCTGTGATGCTCACACCTTTGATAAAGTCTTGCGTGTGTCAGCTTCCTTTTTATAGATACAAAAATATGTAAATGTACTGATCTGAATTATAATATTTCTGACTGTCAAAATTTCCCAGATTCAAATCGAATTGAATCGAATCGAATTAAACCGAATCGTGGATCGAATCGATTCGGGACCTTGTGAATCGGAATTGAATCGATTCTAGAAATCTGTGACGATACCCAGCCCTACATCATACTAACAGTCAAACATGATAGTGGTAGTGGGGTGGTCTGGGGCAGCTTTAAGAGCTGAACAACTTGCCATGATTGATCAAACGGTGAATTCTGCTGTCTACCAGAAAATCCTGAAGGAGAATGTTCAGCAGTCACACTTGAATGATGCAGTGGGTCAGTGATCCAAAACACACCAGCAAGTCCACCCCTGAATGGCTCAAAAATAAATTAATAAATGAAGGCTTTGGAGCAGCCTTGTCAAAGTCAGGACTGAGAAAACTGCGAAGCTTTAGCATGACAACACAAACACTTGGTGGTAGTTCTTGCTGTGAAGGGTGTCACAACCAGTGATTAGGTTTAGGGGACAATTACTTTTAAAATATAAAATGCAATTTGTTTGATGATCTGAAACATAAGTGTTACAAATGTAGGAAACACTAAGAAATCAGAAACGGGGCAAATACTTTTACACGGCACTGTATCTGGATGCATAAAAGGTTAATTGCATATATAACTGTTAATACTGCAAAGTTCAGATATAGCTGCATAGTGGTGTGGAAATACTGACTTTAAAAGGGCGGGGGAGGTCCGGCTTTGTGTATCGGAGGTAGATCAAACCCAGCACCACCACACCGATGAACAGCCATCGCAGGAAGCTCATGAAGTTCAACAGACTGTAGATGTCTCCAACTAACAGCTGGAGCATGGTCATAGGGTACTGTATATTCACATACACATCCAAATACACACACACATACAAGACGGTTGTATTTCCATCAGTCAAGACTGTGTATTTACAGTGTGGATTTACAGTAGGTTTTATGGACTGATGAATCAAAACTTGAAATCTTTGGTTCCTTCTTCACAGGCTGTTTTACTGGATCCAGGGTCAGTGATAGGAGCCTTGAAACAAAATGGCTGTCGCAGCATTCTGGATTGCCATGCAATACCCTCTGGTATGGATTAAAGATGGACCGATCTGATATTACGTATCAGTATCGGTCTGATACTGACCTAAATTACTGGATCGGATATCGTAGAGAAATAAAAAATGTAATCCGATCCATTAAATATTTCAAAAGCACCTCACAAAACTTGCGACATAGTGTAGCCCAGCTCATAACCTTAGCACGTCGAAGCAGTATGCGTCACGTGATAGAGCAGCTGTGGCGTGCGAGACCTGTCGGCGGCCTTAGAGGAACTGTTTCGAGGTGACCGACTGGGAAACACTCTGTGAGCCTCACGCCGAGGACATCAATGGGCTTACTGAGTGTATCACAGACTACATAACTTTCTGCACCGACTCCATTGTTCCAGCTCAGACTGTTCATTGTTACCCAAATAACAAGCCGTGGGTGACTAAGGACATCAAAGCCCTCCTCAACAACAAGAAGAGGGCTTTCAGAGGGGGCAATAAAGAGGTGAGGAAGGTCCAGGTGTTACTAAAGGACAAGATCAGAGAGGTTAAGGACAATTACAGGAAGAAGCTGGAGTGGAGACTCCAGCAGAACAGCATGAGAGAAGTGTGGAGGGGCATGAAGACCATCACTGGATTCAGGCCAACCAACAGCAGGGGAGCTGAGGGAAGTGAGAATAGAGCTAACGAGTTGAATCTGTTTTTCAATAGATTCGACATCACAGTGTCTGCTCCCACCCCCACAACCTCACCTGTAGTCTGCCTGGAACCCAGAGCCACACGACTGTGCCAGCCTCTCTCCACATGGCACTGTGGCCTCCTGTGAGATTCCTGACACCCCTCCTCCACCCAAGTCTGACCACAACGCCATCTTCCTCATTCCCCAGTATAAACAAAGCATACGGAGGGAAGACGTGACCAAGAGGGAGGTAAAACGGTGGACTGCCCAATCAGAAGCTACGCTACAGGACGCACTCAACGACGTAGACTGGGACATGTTCAGAGCATGCGCAGTCGACATCAACGAGTTTACGGAAGTAGCAGTATGCTTCGTCAATATGCTAGCGGAGGAGATTATCCCCACTGCCAGAGTCACCACATTCCCAAACCAGAAACCGTGGATGGACAGATTGATCCGCACTGCAGTAAACGCCAGGACCGCCTCCTACAACGCGGGTCTCGCCACTGGCGATATGAGCGCCTACAAAGCGGCCTCATACGGCGTGCGGCGCGCGGTGAGAGATGCCAAACGCAGGTACCGGGAACGTGTGGAGTCCCGCTTCCACCAGGGCGACACACGGAGTATGTGGCACGGACTACGCACCATTACGGACTACAAAGCCAGGGACACTGCGCCGATCAACGCCAACTCTGCATTCACCAACGAGCTGAATCAGTTCTACGCCCGTTTCGAGGTTAGCCAGGCGGCTAATGCTATCTACCGCCTGACTACCGAGGACAGTGACGTCATCAGCGAGAGCCCGGTGACCAGCATCGCGGAGCATGACGTCCGAGCGGCACTGAGGAGAGTGAACACAAGGAAAGCAGCGGGGCCAGACGGCATCACCGGCCGTCTGCTGCGCTGCTGTGCTGACCAGCTAGCAGGTGTGTTCACTTACATCTTCAACGAGTCCCTGGCGAAGTCTGTGGTCCCCACATGCTTCAAAAGATCCACCATCATCCCTGTGCCCAAGAACAGCAAACCCTCATCCCTGAACGATTACCGGCCAGTTGCACTGACCTCGGTAGTAATGAAGGTGTTTGAGAGGCTGCTGAAGAACATCATCTCCTCCTCCATCCCAGACACCACAGATCCGCTGCAGTTCGCCTACAGATCCAACAGATCCACAGAGGATGCCATCGCCCACGTCCTACACACCACTCTCAGCCACGTGGACAAGAAACAGGGTAACTATGTGCGAATGCTGTTTGTTGATTACAGTTCAGCGTTTAACACAATAGTGCCCTGCAGACTGTTCACAAAGCTGAGGGATCTGGGACTTAACAGCCGTCTGTGTGCATGGGTGTTGGACTTCCTCACTGGCAGAACTCAGGTGGTGAGGGTGGGCAGGTGCTTCTCCAACAGCATCACCATCAACACAGGAGCACCTCAGGGATGTGTCCTCTCGCCACTGCTCTACTCCCTCTACACTTCAGACTGTGTGGCCACCCATGGCTCCAACACCATTGTGAAGTTTGCTGACGACACAGTGGTGTTGGGTGCCATCTCCAACAACGATGAGGCGGCCTACATGGATGAAGTGAAGAATCTGGCATCGTGGTGCCAAGACAACCACCTCCAGCTGAACGTCAGCAAGACCAAGGAGCTGGTGGTGGACTTCAGAAGGGGTCAGCACAGAGACTACAAGCCCATCATCATCAATGGAGCTCCAGTGGAGAGGGTGCAGTCCTTCAAGTATCTTGGTGTCCACATCTCCTTAGACCTGACATGGGCTGCCCACATTCAGGTCCAGACCAAAAAGGCTAGGCAGCGCCTGTATCACCTACGACAACTGAGGAAGTTCAGGGTCTCTCCAAAGATCCTCAGGATTTTCTATACAGGCGCTGTGGAGAGCATCCTCACACAGAACATGACATCGTGGTTTGGGAACAGCTGTGTGAAGGACCAAAGAGCTCTCCAGAGAGTGATCCGTACAGCAGAACGCTGCTGCAGGATTGCTCTCCCCCCGCTTCAGGACACCTACACCAGGAGATGCCGGACTAGAGCAGATACTGAAGGACCCGTCCCATCCTGGCAACAAACTGTTCCAACTTCTGCAATCTGGTAGAAGGTTCCGCATCTTCCGGGCAAGGACAGAGAGACTCAAGAGGAGCTTCTATCCCCAAGCCATCCGTGCCCTAAACACACACACCCGCCCTCTCACATCATCTATAATTGACTGAGACAGGACTCTCTTCCAGACACTAAACCAAGGCACAATGTACATTTCAATTCCTTTAATTTTAAATATGTTTATATTGTCTATCCTGTAAAATAGTCAGATGTCTATTCATATTAATGTACAGAATTCACCTGCTTGCTGCTACTACTGCACATTCACCCAGTGTATATACTATATGTCTGTATATATATATATAATGTTCTTCCTCTACACCCCCCCCAATTTTTGCACATGTCGAGGAGCGTGTCAGGCTACATTTCACTGTGTGTTATACTTGTATAACTATGCATGTGACAAATAAAGAACCTTGAACCTTGAACCTTGAACCATCACCTTCACTCAATACCAGGTCGAGATGCAAATGAGGAGTCTTCACTCAGGCAAGTCTGCTGGACCAGACGGAGTGAGTCCCCTCGTCCTCAAGACCTGTGCCCCCCAGATGTGTGGAGTCTTTCATAAACTGTTTATGCTGAGTCTGCAGAGGGTCCCAGTGATGTGGAAGACATCATGCCTCGTCCCTATTCCAAAGATACCACGTGTCCTGGATTGTTGATTACCTGACAGGAAGACCACAATATGTACGTCTCCCACAGTGTGTGTCTGACAAGGTAATCAGCAACACAGGGGCACCACAGGGGACTGTCCTCTCCCCCTTCCTCTTCACCCTCTACACCACAGACTTCAGCCACTGCACAGAGACCTGCCATCTTCAGAAGTTTCCTGATGACTCTGCGGTGGTTGGATGCATCAGCAGGGATGATGAGACAGAGTACCGGGCTGTGGTCGACTCCTTTGTCACGTGGTGTGAGCAGAATCATCTGCAGCTCAACATGGCAAAGACCAAGGAATTGATCATGGACTTCAGGAAGACCAGGAAACACTTGACTCCTGTTTCAATCCAGGGGGTCAGTGTTGACATTGTGGAGGACTATAAATACCTTGGAGTACACATTGACAATAAACTGGACTGGGCTAAAAACACCACAGCGCTTTACAGGAAGGGCCAGAGTCGTCTCTATGTTTTTGAGGCGACTGAGGTCCTTCAACATCTGCCAGAAAATGCTCAGGATTTTCTACGAGTCTGTTGTGGCCAGTGCGATCCTCTATGCTGTTGCATGCTGGGGGAGCAGATTGAGGGTCGCAGATGCCAATAGACTCGTTAAACTGATCTGTAAGGCCAGTGATGTTGTGGGGATGGAGCTGGACTCCCTCAAGGTGGTGTCAGAGAGGCGGATGTTTTCCAACATAAAGACAATGTTGGATAACACCTCCCACCCACTCCATGACATGCTTGTTAGTCACAGGAGCACGTTCAGTGAGAGACTGAGATCATCGAAAAGCACCACTGAACGACACAGGAAATCTTTCCTGCCTGTGGCTCCCTGTACAACTCCTCCACTTAACACACTGTTTACTGCAACAGCTACACCCTTTTTGCACATGTTCATTTTCAGCTATTTATTTATAAGGTACTTTTATGTGTATATATATGCCTGTATATATTGTGCTATTCTTAGTTAGTGTATTATCCCTTAAACTTTTTCCCTGAATCCGTTCAGTCAGACTTGACAAAAACTGTAAAAATTGGGGTGTTCTAAAACTTTTGACTGGTAGTTTAGTTACTTTCCACTATGTTCCTACTCCATGATAAACTACAAATTTACCCCAAATTACTACTATTGATATTTTAATATGAGAATCAAATTCTAGAAAATAAATCAGGCCCCATCTTATCATTTTATCCTTATCTTAAAGACGCTGCTGGTTGCTAATTTACTTGTGGTGGGTAACAAATAAGCAGAACTGCTTTCTTCCATTTCCACAACATCTCTAAAATTAGAAACATCCTGTCTCAAAGTGACACTGAAAAACTAGTTCATGCATTTATTACATCCAGGCTGGACGACTGTAATTCATTATTATCAGAACGTCCTAAAAACTCGCTGAAAAGCCTTCAGCTAATCCAAAATGCTGCAGCAAGAGTCCTGACAGGGACTAGAAAGAGAGAGCAGATTTCTCCTGTTTTGGCTTCCCTGAATTGGCTTCCTGTTAAATCCAGAATTCAAAATCCTGCTCCTCACATACAAGGTCTTAAATAATCAGGCCCCATCTTATCTTAATGACCTTGTAGTACCATATCACCCTATTAGAGCACTTCACTCTTGCTCTGCAGGCCTACTTGTTGTTCCTAGAGTATTTAAAAGTAGAATGGGAGGCAGAGCCTTCAGTTTTCAGGTCCCTCTTCTGTGGAACCAGCTTCCAGTTTGGATTCAGGAGACAGACACTATCTCTACTTTTAAGATTAGGCTTCAAACTTTCCTTTTTGCTAAAGCATATAGTTAGGGCTGGACCAGGTGACCCTGAATCCTCCCTTAGTTATGCTGCAATAGACGTAGGCTGCCGGGGATTCCCATGATGCATCGAGATTTTCCTTTCCAGTCACCTTTCTCACTCACTGTGTGTTAACAGACCTCTCTGCACTGAATCGTACCTGTTATTAATCTCTGTCTCTCTTCCACGGCATGTCTTTATCCTGTCTTCCTTCTCTCACCCCAACCAGTTGTTGCAGATGGCCCCACCCCTCCGTGACCATGATTCTGTTGGAGGTTACTTCCTGGTAAAAGGGAGTTTTCCCTTCCCACTGTTGTTCATAAGGGGTTGTTTGAGTATCAGGATTTTCTCTGTATTTGTGTAGGGTCTTACCTTATAATATAAAACACCTTGAGGCAACTGTTGTTAGGATGTTGTTCTATATCAGTGAAACTGAATTGAATCTCTAACCTTCCTACAATTTTTGTCCAAAAAAGTGCAGAAAGCTCAGACAGAATTGTTTTCAGGACTCATGACATCTATTAGCTCATGTTGTCGTCCCTTTCAAAGATTAGTTTTTGTGACCTTTAGTATATTGTCTGAAATGAAATGCTTATGTTAGTAAACTGACCATTATGAGAACAGCTGCAAGTGGAGTGTGTCTGCGGACATGAATCATAGACAAAACCTCAGGGAGCTGGCCTTCACGTGAAGCTACGTAGAACATTCTGGTGAACACACACATTATAACAGACAAAATGAGGAGAGACACCATGACATTCACTTGATAATCAACACAGTCACATTGTATGATTAAAATCAGCTCTTTTTCAACATGAAACATATTCCCATGGGCAGTTTTCTCATTCCCATTAAAAATGCCTCAAGTGTGTAGGTTCAAAGATTTGAAAAGACAACCTGCTTGACTAACTGTGCCTGCATATTTTACAATAAATGCTAGTTTACAAAAAAAGAGAGAAAAAGATAGAGGTGTCCTTTGTTTCCCTCTCTGAGTAGTTCAGATTTTACTTGCTGGTTAATGTGACACTCTGAAAATTCCTTGATTAGGTTTAGGAAAAGTTTAAATTCATTAAATCATTGTCACTTTTGTTGCACCGTAGCACAGATGCATAAGGACACCTTGTGTGCACCACCAGCAACTTTGACAAAACTGATGTATTTGACACCCTACACATGACACACGCACACACACACACAGTATAAGCATACTTAAGTATACTTAATACCACAAATTATTGCAAAGTTAGAACTTTTGTTTAACTGCTACAGGATTCTGTCGTGAGCACATCGGCATACATACTCTAGGTGTTTTAGCAGTGACACGAACCTTACCTTGACAGGGCAAAGACGCAGCCGTTCATGGTGCCGTAGCAGGACAAGGCTACAAATACTGGCACGGCGATAGAGAAGTTCCCCAGAAGCCTCTCTGCAAATGTCTGTGGATTTCACAAAGAGGACATAAAGGGAGACAGATGAGCGTTTGTTGGTCATTTGTTTGTATTGAATGTCAGATGGAAAGCAGTGTTCAGGTGACAGGTGTATTTGAGACTAGCTCGAATAAATCAACTTGCAGGAAGTGTTGACTAAAGTTTTCTAATATTTTCAGTACAATGTTGGTGACGAAGCAGCACTGTGGTAGAAGGAAACAGGCCAACAAAACGATGTGAAAACATCAGAGCTGAACGACGGCCTTTCTTTAAAACACTTCATGGAAGTTGGATCAGTTGCATCCGAAGCATATTCAGGCAGACTGTAACTGAAAACACCATTGGATGTAAGGTTACACTTGCAGTCAATCAACTAAACACTGACCAAGCAGGAGCAGAACTCCACCCTTCAGAGATAAGCTGCACCCTGCATACAGGATTCATACAGTAGCATGACCAGAGCTTTGAAGAACTAACAGACACTATTAGTTGTTTGGTGTGCAAGGGCTTTGTTTAAAAAGCAGAGGGATTATCTTTAGTCAGAGGAACTAAATGAAAGCGGAACATTTATTTTTAAAGGTTCTGTTTAAATACATGTAGTACACGTTTTTGAAGGACACAAGGTCCACATTAGTACAGTTTCATTTCTAAACATTTGCTGCACTTGTACTTTTGTCCAAAGTTTTAGGAGCCCTGGGTGTACGTTTGAAAATGTCCAAGTTTTGTCGTAGTGTATTGAGGTAAATGCTAAATAAAAATGATCTTTATATATGACTTCAGCCTATTCCATTCATCACTCTTCCATTATGTGAACACACCTCTAATTCAAAAAGCCTAAAATGACTAATCGTGCCTCAAGCCAAGCTTCTTCGAGATAAGTTCTAGACACCAGTTAAACTCTGTAATCAAGTTTGAGATGTAAACTTCTGCCCGCTGTCTATGAGAGAGGAAGAACATAGTTTAATGCTTTTATCCTATCACAGCCTTCTAAGAACACATAAATGCTCTTAACACCTGTCTTAAGGTGCTTTTATCGCTCTCTGTGCACAGGGCAATAAAACTAACTGCATTACAAAAGACCAGCGATCTCTGATCGCTATCCTCAGTCTAATAAGCAACAGTGGTTATTATTGGGGAATGTCTGTGATGTGATTAACATTAACAGGGCTGGGATGGAACAATCACATTAACAGCTGCTGGGAAGCCAAGCTGTCAGAGACACTTTGCTGATAATGACATGCTAAGTGCAGGAAGGCAACCGCACTGCTCAAGCCAGAAGTAAACACCACAGAGGTGAGACCTCAACTAAATGCTTTCAAGTAGCATGCACAACGTTTTACTGCAGAGAGCCAAGGTCAGCCCTTACAGTGAAAAACACTGTGAGATATATTTCACTGTCAAATAAGAAGCCACTGCCATAATTTCAGCTTAATATAAGCTACTGATATCACATATAACATAACAAAGTTTTGCTTTTCTCGTTGCTTTATTGAACTTTCCCTGTTCCTGCACACTGCCTGTCTGTGACAAGTTTTTGTTATAGCGCATATAGGTTGGCTTCACATTTCCTGATTAGTTTAACAGTAACTGCAAAAAGCCTTCAAAGTAGTTTTTCTGATTTTTAGAGAGATAGGGTTACCATAACAGATTAATTTATTAGAACAACTTAGCTTCCAAATCCACTGTCCTTATGACAACAAACACAAAGCTGCAGACATGGGATCTTCCACTGTGTGGCCAACTGAATGCTCAGAAATAGAGCTACATAGCGTTCCCAATAGTGGTGAGGATTCAGACACAAAATAGCCCCCAAAAGTTTCTAGTTCATACAATAGTTGCCCAGCAGGGAATTACCCTGATGGCGTCTTCCTGCTTTGCAGATACCTTGCAGTCTGGAAATGGCTTATTTAATGAGTCACAAATATCCACCAGTGGAAATGTTACAGTTTTGCTGCTGTTTACGTTCAGTTCTGCCATCGTGGATTGTGGCTACTCTGACTTTACGATTTCAACTGGGAACTTGGAAATTCTGACTTGGGAACACACCCTATTTCTACCACCTTGATGCTGATTGGCATTTTACAACACTTGTTTAAGCAGCTCTGAATTTTTGTGACTGTTAGTTATTTGTGTTTACCCAAAGTAATGCCCCAAAATGTAGTTCTTTGATGATTCTAGTGAATCGTGAGCTTTTGATCTATGTTTTTATATGTGAATTGTTACATTTTGTTCAGGCATAGATGTCTCTTGTCTCTCGTTTACATATTTCTCTAAGTTATTTTTTTCTGCTGAATATTTTGCTTTATGACCAAATTGTCAACAAAGTTACCGTAATAGCATTGCTTATTTATTACTGATTAGCCAGTCAGATTATTAGCCAATTGGGATGCTTTACAAAGCTCTACAGAATATATTTTTTTTAGATGATGGGATGTTTGCATTGTCTGCTCTATGTCAATCATTCTTACCCATAACATCCTTATCTGTTTACAGGCATGTTACGGTACATGCAGAGCTCAGGACAGAAACAATAATATGGGTCTCTAAATGAATGACTGTGCTATAATAAATGCACTGTCACACAATCTATTGATTCTTTCCCAAACACATATCATTAAAAAAAATCTAACTAGTGCTTTAAGGTAGAATCATTTTCACTACAGATGTATTTAGTTACACTATAATTATACACTAAGCTGATACAGATATTTTGTGAATAAGAGACATGGGTGAGGGGTCCCACTTTGAGTGTGTATGGCCTTGATTGAGGACTCATGCGGGGAAACGTACATTTATAAAGTTGTGTTGCTGTTTTACTGTTGTTGGTTTTTGCTTTTTTATTTTATTCCTAATACAATATTTAAGGTAGACGGATAAGTGACAGTTACTTTTAAAGGTTCAGTACTTACACTGTTTTTCCAAGTACTTACCACAGCAACAGCTGATGAGGCCAGGAGCTCCTCAGCTGACATTACAGTGTAGTATGCCACATTGGTGAGCACATAGCAAGAAGTCACAATTGCCATGGAGATACAGATGGCGAGTGGAACAGTCCTGAGGGCCGGAGGGAGCACACTGTTAGGCACTTGCAAGACTTACTCATCCTTCTTTCCCTTGTATATCTATGTCTGTTTTACTTCCATACATGCTCCATCTGTACAGCTTTCTAAGAGACGTAAACAGAATGTACCACCTACTATTGGGCTGATCAATTCTGCTAGCTACAACAGCTCCAAAGTTTTGCTTTTTGTGCTCATTCTTTGGTAGGCAGCACAAAACAATCAGAGTACTCTGCATTTTTTTGTTAAAAACAGAAGAGACGTCACTGTGAACACAGAGGAAACAGTATCTAATAATGTTCACATGTCCCAGATATGCCAACAGGATGAATTCACTTCAATTCAATTCAAATCAGCTCAATTCAGTTCAGTATATACTGAATATTGTAGGAATGAAATCACAACAAAGGTTGCCTCAAAGTACTTATGTTGTAAAGAGTCTACAATAATACAGAGTGACAAAGTGGAACAACAGTAACTCAGCCATGAAGTGGTAGAGCATGTAACGTCACATAGTGGGTTCAGTCAGTCAGCAGTTTGTTGATGGACCCTTCCTGTTCTAACATGAGTAACCATAGTAACTGGTAACACACCAAGATGCTGTGTAAGGCTCAGGTACAGTAGACACAGTCATTTCACTTCAAAGTAGTCACGTGATCCAATGCTGTTTATTAGAAACACTAATCACAGTGAAATTAGCCACTTTTGTCCAACAGATGAAGAAATAGGATTCCTTAGACTTCAAATTCTATTATTTATAAATAACTTTACATGACCAGAAGAGTAAGCACATGGACTAAACTTACCTTGCAGGGTTGTCCACCTCCTCTGTCACAAAGTTCAGATAGAACCTGAGTAAGGAAAGAGTTAGTTTATTACCTCCACTTATTAATGACCAGCAACAGTGTGTGTGTGTGTGTGTGTGTGGTGGGGGGGGGGGGGGGGATCGACCTATCTTGGTGGGGACAAAAATCTGAAACTTGCTACACTGGTGGGGACCAACAGATCCTAATGGGGACCGAAATCCCAGTCCGCACAGAGTTGAAGGCATTTTTCACACTCAAAATGTGGTTTTAGTGTCAGGGTTACAATTGGGCTATGGTTAGGTATGGAGACAGTTTAACTCAGAATCAGAATCAGAATCAGAAAGGGGTTTATTGCCAAATGTTGAGCAGGTTTACAACATTAGGAAATTGCTGCGGTGCTTCAGTGCAAACATACTGTCATAAATTGCGATTAAATAGACATGAAAAAATAAAAGTAGGAATAAGAATTAAAAGTGCTACGTAGAAAGATATGTGCATGAGATATACATGAGATATATACATGAGATAAGAATTAAGAGTGCTACGTAGAAAGATATATGCATGAGATATAGATGAGATATATACATGAGAATAAGAATTAAAAGTGCTGCGTAGAAAGATATATACATGAGTGCAGGTGGTGATCAGTGCCAAACATGGAATGATGCAGTGACACAGCGTAGGGTCATGTGTTTGTGGCGGGGACAGTCATATGGTTATTGTTCATGTGTCCAACAGCAGAGGGGAAGAAACTGTTCTTATGGCGAGAGGTTCTGGTGCGAATGGACCGGAGCCTCCTGCCTGAGGGGAGCAGGTCAAACAGACTGTGTCCAGGGTGAGAAGGGTCAGCTGAGATCCGAGCTGCACGCCGCAATGTCCTGGAGGTGTACAGGTCCTGCAGAGATGGGAGTCTGCAGCCAATCACCTTCTCAGCAGAGCGCACAACACGCTGCAGTCTCTGTTTGTCCCTGATAGTGGCTCCAGCGTACCACACGGTGATGGAGGAGGTGAGGATGGACTCGATGATTGCGGTGTAGAACTGCATCATCGTCCGTGTTGGCAGGTTGAATTTCTTCAGCTGCCTCAGGAAATACATCCTCTGCTGGGCTTTCTTGATGACGGAGGTGATGGTGGGCTCCCACTTCAGGTCCTGGGTGATGGTGGTACCCAGGAAGTGGAATGAGTCCACAGAGGTGATGGGGGTGTCAGTCAGGATGATGGGGGGGAGTGGGGCTGTGTGCTTCCTGAAGTCCACAATAATCTCCACTGTCTTCTGGGCATTTAGCACCAGGTTGTTGTGGCTGCACCAGGACACCAGACGTTCAACCTCCCTCCTGTAGGCAGACTCATCCCCGTCCGAGATGAGCCCAATAACGGTGGTGTCATCTGCAAACTTGATTAGCTTGACAGACTGGTGGGTGGAGGTGCAGCAGTTGGTGTACAGGGAGAAGAGCAGAGGAGAAAGAACACAGCCCTGAGGGGAGCCGGTGCTGATGGTCCGGGAGTCCGAGACATTCTTTCCCAGCCTCACATGCTGCTTCCTGTCCGTCAGGAAGTCAGTGATCCACCGGCAGATGGGATCAGGCACATTCATCTGGGAAAGCTTGCCTCGGAGATGGTCTGGAAGGATGGTGTTGAAGGCAGAGCTGAAGTCCACAAACAGGATCCTGGCGTAGGTTCCTGGGGAGTCCAGATGCTGCAGGATGAAGTGTAGGGCCATGTTGATGGCGTCGTCTACAGACCTGTTGGCTCTGTATGCAAACTGCAGGGGGTCCAGGAGGGGGGTCGTGAGGGTCTTGAGATGGGAGAGAACTAGGCGCTCAAATGACTTCATGACCACAGATGTCAGAGCCACGGGTCTGTAGTCATTTAGTCCAGTGATCCTAGGTTTCTTGGGGACAGGGATTATGGTAGAGGACTTGAAGCAGGCAGGCACATGACATGCCTGCAGTGAGGAGTTAAAAATGCCAGAAAACACTGGGGCCAGCTCGTTTGCACAGTGTCTGAGGGTGGCAGGAGACACACCGTCTGGGCCGGGAGCTTTCCGAGCATTCAGATTCTTAAACTGCTTCCTCACATCTGCTTCATGAATATGAAGAGTTGTGGTGGGAGGAGGTGGTGTGAAATCCTCTTTTGTGTGGGGTGAGGAGGGGGGTGTTGTAGGTGAACAGTTTGAAGGTGGTGATGGCTCTATGGAGGGGGGAGAGGTGGGGGAATGAGTGACCAAAGTGTCTCTATTGTTGGGGCCGTTGGAGGTGTGAAGGCTGCCTGATGGCAACTCAGTTTGCTTTCCACTGAAACTTTAGTGCACGGTCCTGGAACATCCTCGGCCTCCCTTGATTCTCCTGCTTAGCTGTCCTGCTCCTCTTCTCTGTCGCCCCGTAGGTCGTCCTGGAATTTCACTGCAGACATGACTAACGTGTCCAAATACTAATGGGCTGTGAGGCCCTTACTCATTAGAGCAACCAGAGGAGAGTGGTCCAAAAAGAACAAACTATTCAAAATATATTATATACCAACAGGTATACATACCCCTGTCTATTTCCCTGCAGCATATACGATGGAAACGTAAAATCTGTAACTATGGCGTGAAACGTGTGGGGCAGATGATAAGCGCATGCATGTCCATAGATTTAAAATACACCTTGGTCCACATCTTTTTCTGAACTTCTACTACTTTGAAATTAATTTTTTAGACACCATCTTCAGAGTCGCTGGTCTCATATTTCAGTTTATTCGACTGGTGATGTGTATTTAAAATCTGCACGAACTGTTTAAAACTCTCTTCTCCACGTGCCCACGCGCCTATAATATCTTCTAAGAAGTGGAGATAAAACATGGGTTGTAGTGCACACTTGGCCAACGCCCCCCTTTCCCACTTGCTCATGTAAATATTTCCCTACGATGGTGCGCATCTCTGTCCCATGGCCGTGCCTTCCAGCTGTAAGTAGCATTTATTGTCAAATTCAAAGTCATTGTTTTTTTGTTTTGTTTTTTTCTGCCTGTCCCGTTTGGATCTTTAGCCATCAGAATTGTTGTCTGAAGGCCAAGAAAGATGCCAAGTGGATTTACTTTACTAAGTGGATCATCATGGCCTTGCCATATTGGTCCATTTGATTGACCTTTATTATAATTATGTATTTATTTTATTTTATTTTCGGTTGTTACAGACGAGACAGACATGACTGGGGGATAGGACAGGGAGAAAGAATGAAAGAAAGAGAGGGAGAGAAAGAAAACCAGAGGGGAGAAGAGACGGTGAGAAAGGGGGGAATTAAAAAAAAAGAAAAACAAACAAAACACCTGGATCACCTGTATGGAGATAAGAAAAAACAGAAGAGAAAACAAACAAAAAAGAGCAACATAATAAACACAACACCATCACAATAAACTAGCTAACAGTAGATAACAATAGATACTAAATATTAAACGATATTGTGCAGCACGCAAGATCAACAGCGCACAATGTGCTTTGAGGCAGCAGCCAAGAAAGGTGTAGTTTGTGTCTGTGAACACCCGTGTGTACACCTGTGTGCACACCTGTGTGGATCAGCATGCTTGTATTCAAAAGGTTTCTCCATGTAACGATCTGCTTGGGAGTGTGGGGAGTCATAGCTCCGTCCACCAGGGCATGAAGCAAGTATGGAGGAGATCCAGGCCCCAGACCTCCAGAGGCCCCAGAATACGAGGACCCGAGGAGGACCACCAAAGGGGGGGAACCGTGCCACCCTCCTGGGAAGAGCTGAGTAGAGCCCCAAACGAGAGGTCGCCCAGCAGCTACGGAGCAGAGGCCAGAGGGGGTTGCAGTGACGTGCCCACGGGCTCTGCCGGCAGCCAGCTGTGCCAGAGAGGACCGAGCTTCAGGCCCAGAGGCCAGAGGCCTGAGGGCACCCCACCCCCTGGAAGGAGCCCAGCCGGGCCACAGGCGCCCGGCCCCGCCAATCGGCCACCAGGAGTGAGCTGGTACATACATGAGCGCCCAGTCCCAGACACCAAGAACCACCAACACACCAACGTCTGAGGGCATCAGCCACTGGCAGGGAGTGTGGTGAGGGGAGATGGGCCCCCATACCTTGGAGAGCCTGAGATTCAAAGTCATTGTTGGTAAGATAGAGTTCCAACAGATGTAGAATTTCTGCGTTATCCGGGCGCTTGGTGACCGGATAACGCAGGAAGAAGTTTTCCACCCCATCAGTCCCATCTGTGTGTTGATGCTTGTTTAAAGACTGTGTATGTCAATTGTAAATAAAAACGCTTGGTTAGGCACAACTATGGGATGGATTACCTGCAAGAAGTGGTATGTATCTTTTAAATAACTTGGATGCCTGTGGTAGAGAGATCAATGTATTGTGATTATTGCAATCCAAAACTATTGGTCTCGTCCATGTATCAGGTCGCTTGTGTATCTTAGGCAACAGATAGAATTGTCTCGAACTTGGATCGTTGGATCCTAATAAATAGTCCCGCTGTTTAGCTGAGATATACTTTTTATGGAAAAGCTGTCTGACGATTTGTCCTATTTGAAGCTGTACCACAGTTTGGATAGAGCTAGGAATATTTTTATAGTATTTTTCATCTTCCAATTGTCTATTTGCTTCCAGCCTATACTGCTGCTTGTCCATTAGAACTATTTTGGACCCTTTGTCCGCCGGCTTGATTACTATCTGTCTGTTATTTTGTAATTCTCTGATAGCGCATCAAGTCCTGGATGGTATCATACAATGTATACCACTCAGGTTCCCAGACCGAGGGAAGGATGAGGGGCTCCCTGAAAAAATAATCTTCTTTAAAGTAGTTATGATTAGGGTTAGGATTAGGCATTCATTTTTGATGGTTAGAGTTAGAGTAAAGGGCTCAGGAAAGCATTATGTCAATGGGATGTCACCAGGAGGATAGCAAACCAGACGTGTGTGTATGTGTGTACCGTGCGCACACTTACCATCCAGCATACGCGTACATCCCAGAGTAGAAAGCCAGTGGCATACCAGAGAGCTGCACATTACTCAGGTCAAAGGCATTCTCAAAGTGTCTGGTCTCTCCTGCAAGCATGCACACACATCAACTGCCACATTTGCCTTATTGTGCAAGATGTCTTGATGCATTCTTAATCATCCAGGAAAGTAAATTTCCAAAAGTTGATTCTGGTCATCTGGACGTAGCGTTTTGTGAGAGAAACGTGAATTCTTAAATCATTTATCTTTAACAATTGCAATCACAGAAATGATCACAAAGCTCTCTGTATACCTGAGGGCTACTGGAGACACTGGCCTCTCTACATGAACTCCATGGTTGAGTTATTACATTAATTGCAATAATTCACCATCAGCTGTGCAAATGTAGATTTATTTTTTACAACGTTAAAGCTGGAGGTTGCCTTCTGCAGAGGCTTCAGGAGTACGGTGCTTCATTATCTCTGTGCACAAATGACTCAGCCGGGCACACAAAGAAAAATCAGTAATTACATTTGCGTGTCAATGAGTAATTCGTTTTCTGAAGTTAATTAAGAAATTTCTTTGAATTAATAATTTGTTCACATTAGGAAAATGCTGAGTTAAACAGCCCAAAAGTATAATCAAGTTATTAAAAGTATAATTAATTTAAAGGTCAAATTCATGAAGAAGATTTATTTAATTTATTAAATATGCATATATGAGTTGCAGTCTGGGCTTACGTTACAGAAATGTGGACAGAGTGAAAAAGATTAAGAGAGATAAACTGAATAAATACAACAGATCGTGTGCAGTCCAGGGCTTGGGAGAACATTATATACATAATATGTACTAACTTTACTGTTTTAAGGAATGAATGCAAAGAGTGCTCACTGACACATACAGTATTGCTTCAGAGAAACATTTTAAGTTAATGACATTTTAAAGTACAGCAAAGTCTGCAGTTGAGAGGAAGACAGAAATCCTGTCCTGCTGTGCGGACACCAATAAATGCTCGACCTGTAGCATGCTGTGAGCAGGTGTGTATGACACGCAGGATTCATGTTGAACCACGTGCAGCTGAACACTGTGTGCAACCCAGAACACTCAGAATTTTGGTGGTGGTACGTGTGCAGTGCTAGAGAGGTGTCACTGATGATACCTTTAAAGAGCTGGTACATGCCTGGCACTATTATGATGGCAATGGCCAGAAGCTTGCTGACAGTGAGGAAGATCTGAATCCTGGCTGTCCACGTTACGCTCATACTGTTCAGGTACATAACAGACGCTGCAGAGAGAGGGAACCATGTCAAGCAGTCATACAGTGTTTGTGACCATATTGAAGGCTCACCATCAACAGAAAAGTCTAAGCTAGTCATATCACATTATTACATTTAGTAAGTGGGATTACTTTCTATGTAGTGACTAAAGATCAGATGTCCCTGAATGTTGTTTTCTGTGCTAACGTCAGTCACAACCTGTGCCTTACAGCAGCGCTCTCCAACCTTTTTTGCGCCACGGACCGGTTTATGCCCGACAATATTTTCATGGACCGGCCTTTAAGGTGTCGCGGATAAATACAACAAAATAAAACTAGTACCGGTACCGAAAAAAAGGAAATTTATTCATAACACACGTGAAAAGAACGATAAAAACGATAACAAAATAACGCTGAAAACCGATAAAAACCCTGAAAACTATACATTTCACACCTGAGCCTCAACTCTCGTGGCCCGGTACCAAACGACTCACGGACCGGTACTGGTCCGAGGCCCGGGGGTTGGGGACCGCTGCCTTACAAGAAACCAGTTTAGAATTAAAGGAAACATTTTGTAAGCTTTTTGATAACCAGATGCCTTTAGCTACAAATTTGGCGTGGGGGGCATTTGTTTTTGTCAAAACATGTTTATATTATATTATATTATGATAATTATATAATATACGAATATATCAAGTGGTGTCTTTTCAGTCTTCCACTTCACTCCAGCTCACCCTGTACTGGGTTACTTGGGCCCCTCAGCCTTGTATCCCAATGACAGGCCTTCAGAAGAGAAAGCAGAGTTGGAGGACCAGGGTCCCTGAGGTAGTTAAATTACTACTGGGTGGCAGAAACTCTGGATTGGATGAGATTCACACTGAGTTCCTCTATGTTTTTGGACTCTCTTGCGTTGAGTGGAGAACTGAGGTGGAGTCTCTGTATTGGCAAATTGTGGTTACAATTACCATCTTTAAGAAATATCCCCTTTCGAGAATATTTAATGTGCGTCAGTATTTTTTTCTAACCATTCTACAAATGTTTTGTACGTTTGGAGAAAGTATCTGACTGCATCCGTCAAGGTATCCTGTGGCAGGTGCTACAGGAGTATGGGGTACCTGACCCACTGTTTCAAGCCATTGTACAACTACAGCGAGAGCTTGGAACGTCGGAAGGTCGCTTTGTTGGAAATAAGTGGGACTAATTTGCACTGGGTGCTAGACGGCACTAAGGCATTTCTGTGTCACCGATTATGTTCAGAATTTCTATGGACAGAAATTCTAGTTGGAGCCAAATTATGGAAGGCTTCAACTTTGGTGGCCTCATCTCTGCTTTTAGTGGGTAAAGTAGTTCTGCTGGCTTCATCAGAAATAGAGCCAATACCCCTCCGCAATGACAGGAACCAGTTGAGGTGGCTCGACCATCTGCCTAGCACCCTTCCTGACTGGCCTCAAGATAGACCCAGGACATGCTAGAGACATTACATCTCTCGACTAGACTGACAAAGCCCTGATGTTCCCTCAGATAAATGAGAAGGATCAACTAATTCACTCAACTTATCCTTTAGTTGGGAAACCATGATGCGATTATTTATTCCATCAATAATTTGTTGTGATGACAAAACAAATTATACTTTATGTTCAAACATTTATGATATAAACAAAATGTCCTACTTTTGACAGAATTCAAACTCAGTTATTTACAGTGCTGAACGTAGGAAAGTTTGGCTGAATATGAGAAACTGAGCAACTATCAGTGTGTATAATCAGTGGCCCAGTTTAAAATGCTCTGAAATGCTCATTCATGTGAATTTGCTATACTGGAGATTGTTGTGCCCTATGATTGTTTAGAAGGTTGATAAGCTGAGGATAGTCCTGGGTCTTTTTGTCAAACCCCTCTTCCTTCTCATGCACACTTCTGTCTTCTGCTATTTACCCGAGCTATTTACAACACCCTTCACAACAATTCACTAAGATAACATCTGGGCATATTATAACACTCCTTATTACAGTAGCAAAGGTATATACTTAGGCCAATGGCTGTGGCCAGTTTGACAGCCAGGGGGGGGATACCACATGGCATGAACAGAGGTTCCAGGATGTACTGACCAAAGGCCAGAGAAATGACCGCCATGCCTGCAGGCCTGCAAGATGCAACCAAATATGTCAGTTTTTATATTAACATTAATTTATATAACCTTAGGTAACATTCATACGTCCATAAAAGATTATCACTTATGTTTCCAGCCTTGTAGAGTTTTTTAGTCACCTTCAACTACAGCTTTGTTTCATTTTCTGCATCTTCACCTTTGGCAGTCTCATCAAGTCAGTACAGCAAAAAAGACATGGTTCTAGAGCTAACACTGAAGGTGGTGACCAAAATCAAAGCTAATACAAAGCAAATACATGACTTCGATTCATTGCAGCTGGACATGAAACAAAGAAATGCAGTAGTGGGTATGGGAAAACAAGCATCTGTTAGATGGCAGCATATTTGTTATATTTGTTTTTGTGATATACATTTTTAAAAGCAAGTGAAACACAAAAGTCACAAAAATGAAATCAAAGGATCTCAGTTTGATGGGTTTTTAACCCAGCATAATACAGCTGATGCTGAAAGATCCAACATGACTTCATAGAAAGTTATGAAATATGTGACAAGACTTCTTAGAAAAAAATTACTTGGTGATGGTACATGTGTTAGATCATAAATAAGTTAAAAAAAAAAACGTTTACTTATACAGCACATTTCACAGACTCTGGTCTATTTAAAAGCTTTCTCAAATAAATACGATCGTGGTGATTTCCAAGCCGGCTTTCACATCCCACTGTAAGTCCCACTGTAGCAGGTATAACGATCGGAGTTTGTTTGTAATATCAGATGGGCAACTTCCTAGACATAACATTTCCATAATCACATCCTCATGTGTGCACAGTAGTGGGCTTGGTTTCAATATGAATGAAACAATACTGGCTAGTCCCAAAGGCTCAGCTTCTGGCTCATCTGTATTTCCCTCTTCATTTCCCACAGCAGTCACTGCAGCCGGGGAAATCGCTCTTTGTCCCCCTCATTCTTGTTTTCATTCTCTGCCTCCCTCTCTGTTCATTTCCCATGGTTTCCATTCAGTCCTTGTAGCCTGAGGGTAGCATAAGATTGTGCAGCTCCAAATAGCCAGTAGACTGGTTTGTACTGCTTCACCTTGTCTGTGTACACATTTACTTCCATAGAGCATTTTTTCAACTCTGTGGTACAAAGTAAACTTAGTGTCACATGCAGCCATTCAGCTTTTGCTCCCCACCAAACACAGTCTAAGAGATTATGTATACACCATTTTTTTGTAAAATAGACACTACACAATATTTGCAACACATTAGGTGACTAGAGGCGTACGAGTTGTTTTCTGCTCCTCCACCAATTACAGCAGCATTGACTTGTGTGATGGTGATGATGTAAAAGCCTGAGATTGAGAGAAATTATTTTTGTGCTGATGTGGTATAATCTAAACTAGAGCACCCAAATGCAATAATATATATAATATAATAATAGAAATAATACTGTCATTTAAATTCATCTATAGCTTCTTGTCTTTTCTTCTTAAACTTTTTCATCACCTCCATACAACTTGTTGTATTTTGTGTTGAATAAGTCCCAGTAACTGTACAAACACATACAATTAGACAATTTATATAATCAGATTTATCGTCAACCCGTGGTTACATGTGACACCCCGAGTCTAAACTTTCAATTCAATTCAGTTTTATTTATACTATGTGGTCACTAATGAGCAACAGATCTGTAAATCAAACTGAAAGATAACACTTATAAAGATGTTATGGCAAAGGTCCCATCAGGTTTGATGAGTAACATCAGCTTCCTTTTTGAATCATGTTAATACTCACTTAAGTCCAACATTTGTCTTGTTTAGCTTTGTTTTTGGTCTCCACCAACTACTGACCTGTCACTGACTGCATCTGTCTCTCTGTTTGCTACCGAGTTAGCATTGTATTAAGGCTTTACACTGTTACAGAAAATAGCTGCTTACTGCTGGAACCAGTGACTCTTGCCACCACAAGCAACATCCTTTATATTATACTTTGTGACAAAAAACAATGATTTGTAGAGCTAAAGATTCAGACTTAATTTGAGGCAAAAAGCATTACCTTATAGCAATGAGATCAGCCCATAGTCTTATAAAAGCCATCTGAGGTCCAAACGCTTCCATTATGTATGTGTAATGCCCGCCAGACTTCTTCATGCATGTTCCCAGCTCAGCATAGGACAGGGCTCCTGCAGTGACAGAGGTGACATATTAATCCTAGCTCAGAAACAAGAGGCTAGGTACATACCAGTCCCAGGACTGTTAAACTGTCTCAGAGGTGTACTCTCTCCCCTTTGTGTCCATGATTAGAGCAATGTATTATTGCGCAAGCTGCCTCAGTTCTGTAGCAACATTTTTGAGTGGAAAAAAGCATCACATTTATCCATTTCAGTACAGGCTTGGCAACAGCCATTAGGTGCAGTGGGTCCTGGGTTCCTTCTGGTGCATGACAGTACCTAGCCTCATGCAGGCAATTCCTGGAGAATAAGGGAATTGATACCACTGACGTGACTGACCGTCCGTGCCCTAAACACACACACCCGCCCTCTCACATCATCTATAATTGACTGAGACAGGACTCTCTTCCAGACACTAAACCAAGGCGCAATGTACATTTCAATTCCTTTAATTTTAAATATGTTTATATTGTCTATCCTGTAAAATAGTCAGATGTCTATTCATATTAATGTACAGAATTCACCTGCTTGCTGCTACTACTGCACATTCACCCAGTGTATATACTATATGTGTATATATATATATATATATATATATATATATATATATATATATATATATATTAATGTTCTTCCTCTACACCCCCCCCCCCCCCCCCAATTTTTGCACATGTCGAGGAGCGTGTCAGGCTACATTTCACTGTGTGTTATACTTGTATAACTATGCATGTGACAAATAATAAAGAACCTAGAACCTAGAAAAAAGTTTTGTTTCACTTCCATTTCTTCCTGTAGCATGTTGAAGCTCTACTTGGAACTTTGTTAGCCAGTTCTCAGGTGGTCTTAAACTTTATTGGGACTGGATTAATCTCTGACTCTCTCCCACAGCATGTATTTGTCCTGTGTTCCTCCCCTCAACCCCAATCAGACCTACCCCCCCCCCCCCCCCCGCCCCCTCCAGTTCTGCTGGAGCTTTCTTCATGTTAAAAAGACGTTTTTACTTCCGGCTCGCTCAAAGGAGGTCATGCAATAGTTGTGGTGTTCATTATTACATGTCAGGATGATTGGCTAATATGTCCTGTGGTTAATGATCAAATCAGAATTGATACATCTCGTAAGTTCTGGTGGTTGTTAAGTTCACTGAGAGTCTGAAAAATTACATAATTCAAGTGTTATCTTTCTCAAAGAAACCAAGCAATTATGTATATTCACATATTGCACAAGGTAACAAACCCATGAGCACATCTGTCATTTTTTTTCAAAGATTTGAAAATGAATTGAGAAATCATTAGTGCACACAATTAAAACCAGGAAGTGAAGAATTGCCCAACTGTTGAAGGTGGAGCCAGGAGAGCCCCCGGGCAGAGGTTTTGTCTGTGTTCGCCCATGTCCATCTCTGTTGACCTCTGGCCTGCATGTGCTTTAGGCAAAGACCGCAGTGGAGCTTCAGCTCTCCTTTGTTGGACTTGCACTGCTGTGGGTATTCAACAACAGATTCTGCTCTTCTCCAGTGTTTTTTTAGTCTTTTTGTTCCCAATAAGACTCTGACCAGTCAGAACTGAATTCAGGATTAGACTGCAGATTCTGACCTGACTAAACAGCCTGTAGGCATAGCACATCCTCTGTGTAACATGACAGAGGCCACATTTTGGCATGGACATGCAGATAACAGGCGGAAGTGCTGCTGTAAAGGTCCTTGGGTTTCAATACTTGAGATCATCATTGACAGCAAATGAGTTATGTTCATGTGTAAAATGAGTTTGTCCATTTACATTTCTAGAAACTGCATAAATATGTCTGTAACTTCTAAACAGTCAGTGCAATGTTTTTGTTAAACCCTTCAATTAAACTGAAACTCTGTATTTCAATCACATCCTGACTGTTTGATTTGAAATCCACTGTGGTGCTGAAGACAAAGCTACAAATACGCATAGTTAGGTCCATATTTGTTGGATCGAGACACAAAGTGTGAGAATATTCAGAATAAGTCGCAGAATCACAGCAATCATGCAGGAAAAAAGTTTTATAAGTGTTGATGCTGTGTGACTTTTACAGTCTCCAACAGTGAGTTATCAGGTCACTGTGTATGTGTAGCCATGTTTACAGCGATGCTGTGAAGCAGACTGAAGTTTGACTGAGACTTGAAGATCAGACCCAAGTTAGTGAGTTCAGCCCTGATGGCTGCCATAAAACTTTACTCTGAAACATTCAGCTCATGGTTTGAAGCAGATTTTTGTGGCTGTGAGATGAGCCTTTATATTAAAATCATCACTACACTTCTGATATTTGCATTAGTGAACTGTAAAATAGCAGCTTTAGCACAGAAGAAGCTTACTCGACGGTTTCAATACTGACAGTGTTTTTGGCAGTGATGGTTACATCTCTTCTTTTTTAATCTTACTTTATACAGAAAACAAATGACTTCTGTTTGTTACTTTTCTGACTTCTTTTTATGTCTGTTGTTAAATCTCTACAGCCACAAACAGTTTTCTGAAGCTCCACCAGTATATTACAAGAGCAGAACTCCTCTGCTCATATTCCAACTCACCAAAGAGGGACAGCACGCCACAGGCAATCCACACCAGCAGGGACACTCCCACACTTCCGGAGTGCTTCAGGATTCCCTTTGGTGAGATGAAGATCCCGGCTCCGATGATGGTCCCAATGATGATGGAGATGCCTCGGAGCAGGGTCACCTTCTTCCCCAGTTCTACCTTTCCGTCCTCACGCTTGAGTTCTGTCCCGTTTGAGGAAGCTTTGTGTCCATTTGCTGCAGTTTCTCTGTGAGCAGATGCAGAGCTTCCAGTCATCTCTGTACACAGTGCCTACCACGCTTCTTCTCTTTATGAATGCTCTGTCTGTGACTGCAGACACCCCGTCTTTGTGACTGAAAGTTACAAAACTCTGAGTTAAGACTAAAGGCCAGGCAGGCCGTGCTCTCTATCTCTCTCTCCTCCCACCCACCAACCTTCACTCTGCCCTCCCTCTCTCTTATCTCTCTCACTTACGTCTCACTTTCCTGCCCGGCTGTCTACCCTTTGACATCACCAAACTTTTCTCTCCTTTCTTTCTTCTCTGCACTGCTGTCTCACCCTGAGTTTGCCTTCCTGCAGCCCCTCTTGTGTAAATCCTGGCTCACGTCAGTGAGGTGTTGCTCTGTTGGGTAATCATGACACAGCAACCTGTTTTTCAACACAGACTCACTCGTTTCCTCATCTCCACCCCTTATCCAATTTCTCTTTTGTCTAATTTCCTCTTGTAATTCAACGTCCTCCTCTTTTTATTAACATGACTACACAGGTCTGTAACCTGCCCTGGGATGATTTCAATCGAGGCGAGCAGGTAAAACCAGCTTTCCTGGGACAGCAGCAACTTCAAAGAGCTATACAAACTGCTTTACTTCGAGGTGACCATGGTACTCAAGGGAACAGAAAATAAGGAAGTATTAGAAACCCTGTAAGGGCTGGTGAAACACTGCTCTGTTTTATGTAAAATCAAAGTTAGCTACTGAACATGCATATCATTGTTTTCACTGCTAATCAAATTATCATGTAAGAAAACAAAGGCACAGGAATAAAAAAGGCTTTCTGCGTCTTTCTCTTCCCATTCTGCTGCCTTGTGAAACAATCCTGCTTCTCTGTTTCCAATGGTCAAAACCAAAATGTTGTTTTCTCTGCCAAGCTTGAAAATTGTATTGGCTGCATGGTTCTTCTTTCTGATATCTGGTTTCATAAAGTTATGAAGAGTGAATGAATAGTGGCATTGTAAAGTGCTTTGGGTGCCTTGAAAAGCGCTATATAAATCCAATCCATTATTATTATTATTATAAGTTTGATCAATACATAAAAGAGAAATATGTTCAAGTAGTAACAATGACTGCTTGCATGTCTGAATTTTGTGCGCGTACATGATCGGGCTTCAGCCTTGGTAGATTAGTGGTGACAGTAGGAATGTGAGAAGATAAGAACTCTGTCACCAGATGACCATCATACATGATTTTACATGAAAGAAATTCATATGTGAATTTTACTAAATTATGCTTAACGTTGATCAGAAAATAACACAGTGTTTCATGAATGGGAATTTTACCACATCCAATAAATAAGATAATAAAAATTTTGAAGGGATTCTGATAGGAGGAGTCACTGAGAGCCTGTACAGAGTCTGACATTGGTATGTGTCTGCGGTGCAGGATGGGGCTGCAAGACACACACCAGTCTCTGAATGTCTGACTTGTAAAGCGTGTAATTTAATAAAAAGAAATTGCATTAAATAAACTGTGATTGACAAAAACACAGTTTTAAAAAGGAAAAGAAAGAATTCATCTGGAGGGAGGGATTATGTTACAATGAATGTGTCAAAGTACAGTTAAATAAACTGAATGAAACATGAAGTGAATTCTATACAGGGAGTGCAGAATTATTAGGCAAATGAGTATTTTGTCCACATCATCCTCTTCATGCATGTTGTCTTACTCCAAGCTGTATAGGCTCGAAAGCCTACTACCAATTAAGCATATTAGGTGATGTGCATCTCTGTAATGAGAAGGGGTGTGGTCTAATGACATCAACACCCTATATCAGGTGTGCATAATTATTAGCCAACGTGCTTTCCTTTGGCAAAATGGGTCAAAAGAAGGACTTGACAGGCTCAGAAAAGTCAAAAATAGTGAGATATCTTGCAGGGGGATGCAGCAGTTTCAAAATTGCAAAGCTTCTGAAGCGTGATCATCGAACAATAAAGCGTTTCATTCAAAATAGTCAACAGGGTCGCAAGAAGCGTGTGGAAAAACCAAGGCGCAAAATAACTGCCCATGAACTGAGAAAAGTCAAGCGTGCAGCTGCCAAGATGCCACTTGCCACCAGTTTGGCCATATTTCAGAGCTGCAACATCACTGGAGTGCCCAAAAGCACAAGGTGTGCAATACTCAGAGACATGGCCAAGGTAAGAAAGGCTGAAAGACGACCACCACTGAACAAGACACACAAGCTGAAACGTCAAGACTGGGCCAAGAAATATCTCAAGACTGGTTTTTCTAAGGTTTTATGGACTGATGAAATGAGAGTGAGTCTTGATGGGCCAGATGGATGGGCCCGTGGCTGGATTGGTAAAGGGCAGAGAGCTCCAGTCCGACTCAGACGCCAGCAAGGTGGAGGTGGAGTACTGGTTTGGGCTGGTATCATCAAAGATGAGCTTGTGGGGCCTTTTTGGGTTGAGGATGGAGTCAAGCTCAACTCCCAGTCCTACTGCCAGTTTCTGGAAGACACCTTCTTCAAGCAGTGGTACAGGAAGAAGTCTGCATCCTTCAAGAAAAACATGATTTTCATGCAGGACAATGCTCCATCACACGCGTCCAAGTACTCCACAGCGTGGCTGGCAAGAAAGGGTATAAAAGAAGAAAAACGAATGACATGGCCACCTTGTTCACCTAATCTGAACCCCATTGAGAACCTGTGGTCTATCATCAAATGTGAGATTTACAAGGAGGGAAAACAGTACACCTCTCTGAACAGTGTCTGGGAGGCTGTGGTTGCTGCTGCACGCAATGTTGATGGTGAACAGATCAAAACACTGACAGAATCCATGGATGGCAGGCTTTTGAGTGTCCTTGCAAAGAAAGGTGGTTATATTGGTCGGTGATTTGTTTTTGTTTTGTTTTTGAATGTCAGAAATGTATATTTATGAATGTGGAGATGTTATATTGGTTTCACTGGTAAAAATAAATAATTGAAATGGATATATATTTGTTTTTTGTCAAGTTGCCTAATAATTATGCACAGTAATAGTCACCTGCACACACAGATATCCCCCTAAAATAGCTAAAACTAAAAACAAACTAAAAACTACTTCCAAAAACATTCAGCTTTGATATTAATGAGTTGTTTGGGTTCATTGAGAACATGGTTGTTGTTCAATAATAAAATTATTCCTCACAAATACAACTTGCCTAATAATTATGCACAGTAATAGTCACCTGCACACACAGATATCCCCCTAAAATAGCTAAAACTAAAAACAAACTAAAAACTACTTCCAAAAACATTCAGCTTTGATATTAATGAGTTGTTTGGGTTCATTGAGAACATGGTTGTTGTTCAGTAATAACATTATTCCTCAAAAATACAACTTGCCTAATAATTCTGCACTCCCTGTATATGTATGACCCAATGTTTGAATGTGACAGATTTTCTGTGTTAAGACTGACAAAGAAAATAAAGTGATTTTAAAGTTTAAACTTTGTGTTAAATCATATCAAGATTCAAGGTTCAAGGTTCTTTATTTGTCACATGCATAGTTATACAAGTATAACACACAGTGAAATGTAGCCTGACACGCTCCTCGACATGTGCAAAAATGGGGGGGGGGGGGGGGGGGGGGTGTAGAGGAAGAACATTATATATATATGTAGCAGCAAGCAGACATCTGACTATTTTACAGGATGGACAATATAAACATTTAAAATTAAAGGAATTGAAATGTACATTGTGCCTTGGTTTAGAGTGTATATCAGTCCGATAGACAGAGACTGGATGGAGATTAGGTGAGTAGACATTAATAAAGTGACGTCCAATAAGAGAGGGGACAGAAAGGGTTCTTCTGCAAGATAAGGATCTAAGACATCCACAGCTGAAAGTGACACCAGAACCTGTGAACCTGCAAACTGGTTGTATATTTTTGACTTTCCAGTTTAGCTGTGTTAGATGGTGATTATCCTCAACTTGGAACGCAGCATAAATGCATCCTCAGGTCTGGTTGTGCTCATCCTTTCTCTAACCTGTGAGTGCAAAAAGCTCTTACAGGTTACTCTAGAGCTGTAATTATGACCTTCCCTTGGGGCCTATTTTCCAGGCCACTAGAGTTAAGCCCAGGCATTAGAAGTGCCACAATCATTGGAGGAGCGTTAACACGTGGGACTAATAGGATTTGACCTGCAAGGCGACTCAGGTGTTTGCTTATGTGATCAGAGTGAGCAGGGGAGACACCTGGACGAGTAGTGGGAGAGTCTCCTCACCCAGCCCTTTATTGCCTCCTGGGTAAGACTCATAGGATCAGAGGTTAGGAAGTTCTTATCAGAGAGGAGTCAGGGATGCAGATGGACACACTGGCTGCTCCTTAAATCTGTCATTTCACTGATTTATTGTCATAAACCAAGTTGTAATCTAATTATAATTCCAACTATAACTGTAACTGTAATTATAATGAACAATTTATTGATTGAACATTCCAAAAAATATTATTAGTCATTAATGAGAGATCTAATTCAATACAGTGGGGCAAAAAAGTATTTAGTCAGCCACCGATTGTGCAAGTTCCCCCACTTAAAATGATGACAGAGGTCAGTAATTTGCACCAGAGGTACACTTCAACTGTGAGAGACAGGATGTGAAAAAAAAATCCATGAATTCACATGGGAGGATTTGTAAAGAATTTATTCGTAAATTTGGGTGGAAAATAAGTATTTGGTCACCTCAAACAAGGAAAATCTCTGGCTCTCACAGACCTGTAACGTCTTCTGTAAGACGCTTTTCTGTCCCCCACTCGTTACCTGTATGAATGGCACCTGTTTGAACTCATCATCTGTATAAAAGACACCTGTCCACAGCCTCAAACAGTCAGACTCCAAACTCCGCCATGGCCAAGACCAAAGAGCTTTCGAAGGACACCAGGAAAAGTATTGTAGACCTGCACCAGACTGGGAAGAGTGAATCTACAATAGGCAAGCAGCTTGGTGTGAAAAAATCAACTGTGGGAGCAATCATCAGAAAATGGAAGACATACAAGACCACTGATAATCTCCCTCGATCTGGGGCTCCACGCAAGATCTCATCCCGTGGGGTCAAAATGATCATGAGAACGGTGAGCAAAGATCCCAGAACCACACGGGGGGACCTGGTGAATGACCTGCAGAGAGCTGGGACCAAAGTAACAAAGGTCACCATCAGTAACACACTACAACGGCAGGGAATCAAATCCCGCAGTGCCAGACGTGTTCCGCTGCTGAAGCCAGTGCATGACCAGGCCCGTCTGAAGTTTGCCAGAGAGCACATGGATGATACAGCAGAGGATTGGGAGAATGTCATGTGGTCAGATGAAACCAAAGTAGAACTTTTCGGTATAAACTCAACTCGTCGTG